GTCCTTTTGTATAGGGTTTCAAGTGAAGTCCCCTTCCTTTGGGAAAAGGTTTTAAATAAAGACCTAATCCTTGTCGATAAGGTTTTAAATAAAGTCCTTTACCTAGTTTAATATCTTCAATGACTTTATTATGACGTTGAGCTTCTTTTAACTGTTCTTTTGCAGCACTCGCATCATTTGTAGATTTCGTTACTCCAGCAGCACCTCCAGCAAGAGCTCCAAGAGCATTTAATCCAGCGAAAATAGGAATAAATGGTAAAAAAACCACCTACTGTTGCAGGTATTGGTAGAACTCGAGGTGTTAAAATCTTTTTTTTACTTCCTACTTTCTTGATAGCTTTTCGAGCAGTTGCAATAGCAGCTTTGATTGTCGATTGAGCACTATTACCTGGAATTATGGAATTTCTTGCAGCATCAACAATTTTCCGTAGTGCCGTACGTTTTACCTTCGTCTTCCTCCTCCTCCTCATCTTTGTCTTTTGCTTCTTTAGCCCCATGCCTAATTTGGACTTGACTTTCATAGTACCAGATACAGCCAACGCAGCTGTTTTCTCACCTATACTAGCGTCGCGTGCAAAAACACGTTGTAATGCCTTTTTAGCTAGTATCCTATCAGCAACGTTTCTTGCTTCAATGTTATCTGGATTTTTTGAATATGAAATATCGTGCTCCTTACAAGCAGAATCCAAAGGATTCACGCCAGGATCACCTCGAGCAAGACGTTTTGCTAATTTTGTGCCTGGTCCACAGTATTGATAACCAGGCAGATGTAATTCAAATGGTAATTTGTTGATAAGACTATTCACTAGACCTTTACCACTAATTTTGCGATGTACAATCATACTTGCGTCTGTAAAGGTTGGAATTGAAATGAATGGAAGGTTATAAAACAGGTGTATTTATACCTTTTGCCACAGTCCAAACTATGATACGATTCAATGAACAACCTCATAAGCTACCAGTGGTAAATCTTGACTGGATTGTTCAACAACATGAGAAGAAAGTGAAACGTCATGGTAGTTTATTGTCAGGCAGTATTCGTGCAATATTCTGTGGTCCATTGAATTGTGGGAAAACAAATGTACTTTTGTCTTTAATATTACATCCTAATGGTCTCAGATTTGATTATATTTAACTTTATTCAAAATCTTTGCAACAACCAAAGTATAAATTTTTCGAACAAGTTGTGAGTGAAGTTGATGGAGTTGAGTATTTACCATTCAGTGAACATGAAAAAGTAATTTCTACTCAAAATGCTAAACCAAACTCTATATTTATATTTGATGATGTGGCATGTGAAAAACAAGATAATATTAGAGCTTTTTTCGGTATGGATAGACATGTAAGCGTTGATAGTTTCTATTTATGTCAGACTTATGCAAGAATTCCAAAACATTTAGTACGAGATAATGTGAACTTGTTAGTTCTTTTTCGTCAAGATGAAAAGAATTTAAAACATGTTTATGATGATCATGTGAATATGGATATGACATTTTCTCAATTTCGTGAATTATGTTCAGCTTGTTGGAATTCTGACAAGTATGGATTTGTTGTAATTGATAAGGATAGTAATTTAAATGAGGGAAGGTATAGAAAAGGTATTGACTGTTTTATTTCACTATAAATAAAGATAATTTTTGAATTTGTTTTAGTTTAAATTGAGACCTTGATATATCAAGATGTATAATAAAGAGAAAGAATATTTACATCAAATTGCTAAAGCTAGTGAGGCAATTAGACGTAAACATTGTTTGTTTTTATTAGGAAAAGAAAATGCTGAAAATCTGTTGCACGAAATCTTCAAACCTATAGTTGAATCTTTACAAAAAATTATTACCATAAATGACATTAAACGTGAAAATGTTAAAACGGAAAGGATAGAAAAGGAGGAAAAAGGTGAAAGTAAAGAGGAAGATGATAATTTGAGTTTTAAGAGTATTGAAGATAGTAAATCAACAATAATCCCAGACTTTGAGTATGATAAACTGTTAAATAAGTATATTTACTTGATAGATCACAACAGAAAACAGTGTTTGGATCTAGTATATGGAGTACGTAAGATGCGAGATGGATCACTTCTGATTGGTGATAAACCAATAATTTTTAATAAACAGTTTTTGAATGTTGGAAATAGACGTTTTAACATTACCCCTGGAATATTGGAACTTTTATTTAAAAATAAACCGGAGAATTCACACATTAGTGATCATGATATAAATAATTATAAGCAAATTCTCGTCGACTCCAATGCACATAGAAAAAAATACAGTGCTTCTGAACCTATTAATATAAGTAAAAGTTTTAAATATACTAATATTATTTCAAATCTATTTCCTCATTTTGAAATTCCAAAAAGTAAGTCAAAAACTGGTACATCACTTCCAAAATTTATGATTACAAAAAGAAATTTTCAACCAGACTATATCTATTGGGATGATCCAAATGAGTTAGTTGATCGTTTGAGACTACTTACTGCATCACAAGCAGCTGGTAATCCAAGTCATAATAATGAAAGTATGTCCATTATTGAAGAATTACGTGAAGCTCAAATTATATATTAGAAGTTGTTTTATCAACTACATATCAGTTTCAAAGTGAGCATTGATGTATTCGGACATCCCCTCAATAGAGGAGGAACTGTAGCAGCAAAACGAGGACCACCTGGACCGCCTGGAGTTAGTTTTAATGTAGATTCAGAAGACAATTATGACTGTGGAGGAAAAAGAAATTTGTGACCTTGCAAAAGCTAAAGTAGAGGGCGACGCAGTTAATTTATTACTTACTCAACGTATGATAGAGAACGAAGTGCGACTAGTATATCAAGTCACGTCTTCATTACGGTTAGATATTGACAACTGTAATGTGTTGTTAAAAATTCTTGAAGCTTCGGTAACAGATAAACTACAAAATCTTAAAAAACAAATAATTATTGGTGAACTGGATACTCGTATGAGAGTTCTTGAAAATGAAATGAAAACTCTTGAAATACAAACATCAGAAACATCAGCTCGGTATCAGAAAAATTAAACAATCTTGAAAGACAAATAAATCAAGATTTATCATATCGAAACGCTGAAATTATTGGTGAACTAGATACTCGTATAAGAGTTCTTAAAAATGAAACGAAAACTCTTGAAATACAAACAAAGAAAAATATATTGGATACTGACAACGGTAATGTGTTGTTAAAAACTCTGAAAGGCTCGGTATCACAAAAATTAAACAATCTTGAAAGACAAATAAATCAAGATTTATCATATAAAAATGCTGAAATTATTGGTCAATTGGACAGAAGTTTGAGAGCTCTTGAAAATGAATGACAAAAAGTTCACAGTACATCAATAATGAATCAATAATGAATCAATAATGAATCAATAATGAATCAATAATGAATCAATAATGAATCAATAATGAATCAATAATGAATCAATAATGAATCAATAATGAATCAATAATGAATCAATAATGAATCAATAATGAATCAATAATGAATCAATAATGAATCAATAATGAATCAATAATGAATCAATAATGAATCAATAATGAATCAATAATGAATCAATAATGAATCAATAATGAATCAATAATGAATCAATAATGAATCAATAATGAATCAATAATGAATCAATAATGAATCAATAATGAATCAATAATGAATCAATAATGAATCAATAATGAATCAATAATGAATCAATAATGAATCAATAATGAATCAATAATGAATCAATAATGAATCAATAATGAATCAATAATGAATCAATAATGAATCAATAATGAATCAATAATGAATCATTAATGAATCAATAATGAATCGTTAATGAATCATTAATGAATCAACAATAAATCATTAATGAATCAACAATAAATCATTAAGGAATCAACAATGAATCAAAAATGAAATAATATTAACTAACTATTAAAAACTAATTTAAGCTTCGAGATGTATTAATTACTTTAAGGGGGGCGCCTACTTTATCGGGTCAAAAAAAGCGTTTTTTTTAAAGTTGTCTTAACTGAAAGTACAACTATCAGAGAATATACTCTTAAAATATTACGTCAAAATACAAAGTATTTTTCGAGTTACAGCTTGTAGAACGCAATAAAGCGCGTGGCCTGGCGCGCGACTCCACTCGCAGTCTCTAATACTTTTCATAATTTGTTGCGCTTATCTACTATTACACCTACCATTAAAATTACCATTTATCAGTAAAATGTCGTCTTATCCAAGAGCTACCCATAAAAAAATAGTCGTTCATCGAGGCCGCGAAAAAGACGTAAGTTTTTAATAAACAGCACTTACATGTTTTTCAATCTTTAAACTCGTTTTTCTCAAAACACTGTTTTTGTAGTTTGTGTACACGATAGACAAAAATCTATTCAACCGATTAAGGTCTACCTGGGCTTGTCATGAAGATAAAAAGTGTCTCTTCTGTATGAATTAAATTTGTTTTTGATAGAGTTAAATTTAGTGCTTTCTTTTAAAGAAAAAATGAGATTTTTTTTGGCGAAAATTAAATTTTTTTTAAAAAGTCATGTAAAAATGTCAGTTTTTACTTTCTATTGAAATCTTTTAATTCATACAGAAGGCAATAATGTATATTTAAAGAAAAAATTTTGTTTTTTTGTTTTAGATAAGAATTGTGGACCATAGGTTGTACGCAATGGGAAAATTTCAGCAGCGAGGCGTTATATATATGGCGTTTATTTTATTATTAAATTTTATTGTCATTTAATCAAAAAATTATATTTCAAAGATTTAAATATATAAGAAAACATACACTAAATCTCGCATCGATTTATTTAAATGTGTTTGAGAAAAAAATTCCTGAAATGTACGCAGTTTTTTACCTTCTAAAGTAGGCGCCCCCCTTAAAGAATTTTTTAAATTGTAATATTTTGTTAGAAATTAATAAATAAAATGAAATGTATCTGGTAAAACTGTCCATTTATTTAGTAACAATTTTTATATTTACAAATTTTCACATATATACATTATAAGCTTAATCTCTTTCCTCTATTCTATAATGTCCCCAAGCAAGAGTATCATAGCTATCTGGTAATAAATATCGCTTGTCGTCCATTGGACTTAAAGCAACTTTAAGTTTTTTAACAGTTTCAACTTTATTAAGTCGTGATCGAATTACATGTTGAGTTCTTGTCTGAATTGCAAAATTTTGTAGACAGTCAGTATAATCATTGAAATTGATATAGTTTTTTAAAACTACCGATCTAACTCGCTTAGCTTTCTTTGTAAAATCCTGACCATTTACACGAATACTGTACATCTTACTCCTTAAACCAACAAATTCTGTGATTATTTTTCCACTACATTCATCTTTCATAAGTCCAAGTACTTTGTTGTTGGCTTGAGGAATATTATAAATATTATCCTTTGGATAATCCGACGTATCAAACTTATGAATATCTTCCTTCATATCTACATAAATATCAGCACACTTTATTTCATAAATTAAACTATCAGTATCTGTATACATCAACTTACAAGATTCACCATACTTTTTTAACATGTAATCATAATGAAAGTCATAAATAAGTGACTTAGATACATCGAGTACTGCAAAACCAATGTAAATTGGCTTGCTTATCAAAATTGCGGTTTTTCTCAGTTCAATTGCAACAAGGTTTTCACAGAAAATTGACCGACTGTGAAAATTTGTTTTAGATATCAGAGCCTCAGCTCCATAGCGACCCTCCCACTTAGTTACAAGTTTTACATCGACGTGTTTGCGTACATTTTCCATGGTTTTTCCATAAACGGCATTATTCATGAGTTTAAACAGATTCTTTTCATATTCATTTGTCGCTTTACTTCTTTTTGCAGTATTAAAGTCAATATAAGGCTTAAGCCACGTCGATAGGTTAAATTGCATGACTCTGTGAATTTTAACCTACTTGAGTCCATTAGCAAGAACTTGTTTTAATACTCTATAATGGATAATGTACTTGCGCTTAGGATTCAGTGTAGTTAAAAGCTTTGCTTGTTTTGATTCCGATGGTGGATTTGAGTGTTCTGAGCAGAATGGAAAATCACTGTGACTGTTGTGCAATTCTATTGGATAATCTAAATCTACTTCTAAAATGTAGCCAAAAGGTGAATCATCTGATATATTAAAGTCAAAATTGTCGTCAACTTAAACCCACTCAAATCCACCATAAGGGAGTGGTTGTACCATACTCCAACCGTAAAGATTGTTTGCATCAAAATACATAATGTGGGACGCATGAATATTCCCCAAATTAGACTTGCCGGAATTTTTATGGTGTCGAATTAAAAATTATCGAATTTACATTTAGTAGAATTTTAAAAAAGTAGATTTTATAATGGGCACAATTTTAATATCAAAAAATTTCTATTTGAAACAATTCTAATTTTGTAAAATTTTTATTTAACTGAACTTTAATAAAGCAGATTTTCTAATGCATCGAATTTTAAAATAACACAATTTCCATTTAATAAAATTTTTATCTAGAAAAATTATCATAGAAAAGAATTTTTATTTATCAGAATTTTTATTAATCCGAATATTCACTTAAAATTATTTTTATTAACAGAATTTTCAATTAAAAGAATTTCTATATAAAATAAATTCTTATGTAACAAAAGATTTATTCAAAAAATTGATATACAATCTAATTTTTATTTAGTAGAATTGTCATTTAACAGAAATTCTAATTAATTAAATTCTTAAGTCAGAAATTTTATATTTCCCCGATACTTCATTTGACAGAACTTTCACTTAATCGAATTTTCATTCGATAGAATTCTTAAAATGTCGAATTTTCATTTGATCGAACTTTCACATATACGATCATCCACTTGGCAGAAACATTTCAGCGGGAGTTTTAAAATCAACCAATCACAATTTTCTTGATAATTTTTGATTGGTTGATTTTAAAACTCCAGCTGAAATGTTTCTGACAAGTGGATGATCTGATATATGAAAGTTCGATCAAATGGAAATTCGACGTTTTAAGAATTCTATCTAATGAAAATTCGGATAAGTGGAACTTCGGTCAAATAAAGTATCGGTAAAATAAAAATTCTTTATCTTAAAAATTTAGCTAAGTAGAATTTCTATTAAATGACAATTCTATTAAATAAAAATTAAATAAAAAATATATTATTTAATAAAAGTTTTGTTAAATAGGAATTTTGTTATATAGAAATTCTTCGAATTGGAAATTCTGTTAATAAAAATAATTTTAAATGAATATTCAGATAAATAGAAATTCGACAAAAGAACAATTCTGATAAATAAAAAATCTTTTTTACGAAAATTTTTCTAGATATAAATTTTGTTAAATTGAAATGGTGTTATTTAAAAATTCGATATATTAGAAAATATGCTTTATTGGAGTTCAGTTAAATAAAAATTCTATAAAATTAAAATTTTTTTAAATAGAAATTTTTCGATATTATATTGGGCTCATTGTAAAATCTACTTTTTTTAAATTCTACTAAATGTAAATTCGATAATTTTTAATTCGACACCACAAAAATTCCGGCAAGTCTAATTTGGGAAATATTCATGCGTCCCCATAATGTACTTGACCTCCTCATTTTTATTAAAATTTTCCATAAACGGATTATTAGCACAAGCATAGCGATTGCTACATTGACTTATACCTCCTCTCACACCACGTTCAAAAAACATTAGTTTGTCAATGTCTGTCAACAATTCTAACCTTACATTAGTATATTTCAACATCGCGTCCCAAGTTAATCTCGGTGTAGTATAGTAATGAGCAGGGTCAAGTCTATAAGCTTGTAAGCACTGATGTCTAAAATTTTTAAAGATGTCGGCTAATAGTAAAACATCTGTTTTCATGTATAAATCAACATATTCACAGAGATCAGAACAATTAAATGTAGACCAAATACGTTGGGCATGTAAGTAATCTTCATCAGAAACCGTACTATCATTCAATGTACTACAAAATTTTTCTTTAGCAGGTAAGTTTGTTTCTTCTAATTTTTGACGAGAATCCAAATATTCATACGGTAAAACCCCTTTTCGTGTAAGTAATTCAATTTCTTCAGAGGTGAAGTTTGAAAATACTTGATTCACAATTTTATACTCGGATAAGGATGATGCCAATTTCTCCAAAGACGATGCCATAAATTTAAATGAGTCTATAAATCGAAATTTGATTTTCGTTTCTTTTACATATTTAGTAAAAGAAATATATTTTTCTTTATTCAGTGGTAAAAGTTCAATCTTTCCCGAAAATTCTAAACAAATGACTCTAATTATAAAATGAGCATCATACCCACTCAAATTGTGAAATACAACTGGTACTACTCGTGAATCTTGATAATTTAAATTACATTTTTCATGAGCTGCACCTCGATATTTACCAGTTAAGTGGGAATGGTCTCGAACTTTCTTCTCACGTGGTAAAAATGACCCTTCACAAATATGACATATTTGAGCATCAACAAAAGCTTCAATCTCGTCATGTGTCAATCTATCCATTGGAATAGGGTTTTTAAAAATATTATCCAGAGTTTCAGCCAACTGTTTCAACTCCTGGACGAACCACTTGGCAGCATCTGTTCCATCTGGACACGAATTGTATTTGGATAACGAATCATCATAACAGCAATTTGAATAATATCCAGTAATGAACATTTCATGACGTTGAATCACTTCAGTATTACAAGTGGTTTCTTCATCTTCGACAGGATTCAACAAACACTCACAGTCAGCGTAGATTACAAATGGAACTTTTTCTCTGTTTCCATAATTTTTAAACTGAATAAAATTCTGTCCTGGTTTGGGAAGGTTTATTTTACACTCATTTAACGTCTTGCACTCCTCCTCATGTCTGGCTAATCTCTCCTCCGTGACAAAGTAATGAAGACATCGATCACAGATATGTTTCTTATGTCGATTGGATGAAACTTGAGAACTTACAAGCGCGGACAAGTTCTTAATCCATACATAATGGTAATTAATTGGTACAATAACCAGGGGCGGGGAAACATGTGGACAGTGTGGAGAACTCCACACACCAAATTCACTGGAGTGTGGATTTCCACACTCCAAATTTTGTATTAACTTATTTTTTATTTTTATTATAAACAACAACACTCAGAAGCATATAATGCGAGTTGTTAAACAGTTTTATTAAATATTTTGAAAATCTTGATCCCGCGTTAATATTGAATATTTAAAATTAGTAATTACTGATGTTCCCTGCCACACCCCCCCCCCTTCACCAGTGATCTGAACTCCACACTCCACTCAGACCTGTTTCGCCGCCCCTGACAATCACATCAGAAGCAGCAGGAATAGTTGCGAGAGTTGATCCTCCTGCTGCATTATCACTGTCAACCTCGTTCTCAAAGTGACTTTCGACTCTTAATAAATTAATATGTCTTGCCTTTTTTTCTAAAGTCAAGTGTAATGAGACTGTGTTGTACTTTTTGTTTATTAAGCGAAGTCCATACAGATTAATAGAGATGTCATTATGTTTTTCAAATTTTGTTATATCTTTTAAGGAAACAGGAAACTCGATTCCGGTAAAGTTCAATTCATTTCCATATCTCAAGTAATGATTCATCAACTCTAGGTGTTGAACTTTTGGGTATAAAGCTGATAAAACTGACCAGTTAAAACAATTGTATCCATATTTTTAACATTTATACATGCACGCTTTGCTTTGATTTCGATAGGTAAATCAATGTAGGACCCAACTCGTATTGAATTATATTTGTTAACGTTGACTTCTAATTTTGTAATTGAATAAAGTGTCCATTGTGATTCCTTCTCTTCAAACTCCCCCACTTGTTTTAATATATGCTCTTTAGCATTTTTGTTATACCATTCAATTAAAACAGTTGTTGGAAAAATTATATTACTTCTCACATTAAAATACTTGGGTTCAACTTTCTCTTCATCATTAATAATTTTTTTAAACTTTGTTGCAAGCACAGCATAAACTTTCAGTGAACCATGCTTTTGTAACAACTTTTTAATAAAATCTTCAAAAAGTACACATGCATCATCTAAAAAAGCACTTATATCTAAGAGCACCAGGTTGATAATTATACTTGTTTGAAGTCGACATTTTCCACAGATCTACCCCCACCCACCTCCTCTACAGTACTCTCCTTCAACAATGCCTTCCGCGGTCACCTCCTCTTCTCCTCCACCGCTTGCTTTAACGATGCTGCACGCCTCGGCTGCCCTGCGCTGCTATCCCCCTTTTCCTCTCCTCCAAGATATCTCTGCTTGCCGACTGCTTCTGCTGCTCCTTCCGAGTTGCTCCAAGAGAATGCTGATAATGTCACTACTGTGTCCAACCCTTCTTTATATACCAAATCTCACCGATAGACACACTCACATGTGCGACTTGCGCACCACTTAGACATGGTGACTATACATAGTCACTTGCCCACTTGGTCGGTAAAACAGTTTCCTACCTTGCCGACCGAGGTAAAATTCATGTCAGGAACCTACATTACCGACTGATGGTAATACCGACCGACAGTGGCGCCATCTAGTGGCAGCCATGTATAAAAGAGAGTGAAGAAATTGTGAATATTACAGAATTGTGATAAAAATGCTATTTTACGAAAGTAAACGGAAAAAAATGTTAGAAAGGCAATCCTATAAATTGTCATGTAGACTGTAAGAAAATTGGAATAGGAATAGCACAATCCGATTTGCGTTAGTACAGAGACTTTATGAAACTTGTTTGTTTCCCAAACCTCAGCGTTTTGTGAATACTATAACCAGGTTTTTTAGATGGCGCTAGAGATTCTGTTAATAACACTACAAATTTTTTTGCGTGTAAAATAATGACATAATCAGTAAAAGTAAAATATAAGCGATTCACCAGGTAACTGTTGTTCTTTTTTAAA